GACTCACAGCCTCGCCGCGTCCCGCCGTCTCAGGCTGAGAAATCCGGGGAGCGGCAGCTGAGAAAAGATTGAGTGTGTTGTGTGTGAGGAAGTCCGCGGAATGGTCCATTTGGAAACCCATAGTAATGACCTTGTAGTTGGCTGGTCAAAGGGAAGTTAACCATCTGTAAACCCTGGATAATAGTTATGACCCCAAAACAAACAATAAGGGGCTGCATTGGTATTGACTTGTTGCCTCAATTTATGGAGTAATGGCTCTTTTCTGTAGCCTTAGATTAAACAAAGGTAACTAAACACTAATGAGATGGCAGAGTTATGATTTTAGGGTTAGGGTACAAACGTCTTTATACAGCTGGTACCTGTATTTATGCGTCCGTCCTTGTTGCATAAAAACATACCGTTAAGTGAGCTGCTCTGCAGGAATGAGTTATTTTTATAGTATGACCGGTAATTCCCGTTATAAAAGACTTCTCCAGAGCTTCTGTGCTGCAAAACCTCATTGTTAGTTTGCAGGGCCTGCCTTAAGCACTTACTCTTTCCAGGGGTATACTGTATATATATACTGCAGTAAATATGCAGCAAATGAGGCTGAGAAGATGTTAAGTGTTTCCCATTTGTAAGGTAAACCTATATAACACGCATGCATGCAATATGGATGAAATGCATTAAGAATGAGGCAAAGTAGAAACCCGCCAACACAGCTTCTGGATCTACAGTTGATCGGCAAAGTGCAGGTGAAGCAGCAATAAGAAGAGTGACAAAATAAATTAGGCTTTCTTTGCTCTTGTGATAAGATTATCTTTACGTGCACACTGTGCTGAGTTCACTCGCCTTCAGCAGGTGATTTGTTACTCAGTTTTTATACGACAGTGCAATCCTCTTCCACCAGCTGACAGCTATTCAATTCAGTTTAATGGAATGCACTTTAATGTGTTGTGTTGACATGCTCTTGTTACTGCTCCCCCTCCTACTGTATATTCTTTCTTTCACTACCGTAGAGATCCTCTTCTTGTCTGACCGCTGTGTTTAGTTGTGTTTGAGAGAAGTCGCCGCCTCAATGAAAAGTGCTTTTTCATCGGCGAGTGAAAAGCAATCCTGACTCCGATGTGTCTGCTGTTGAGACTGAGCCAACAGATCAGGCTTTTACAGCCTCCAATGATCTGTCAAACCTTCTGTCTTTTAGCATATTTTTCTGATATTTTGATGCAGTTGTCTGATCAAACATCACTTTGAACTGCTGTGTTTGACCTGTGATATCCATCTTTCTTGTTGTACAAGCCTCTTCTGTACCAACTGCACTGAAATACTTTCCATCTACCCACGTCTTGGCTCTTATAAATGGATATGGACATTCACCATTCAAATATACCATTAGTCAGCATGTTGACACTCTGGTTCTTAAAGGAGCCCTATTCTGCATTTTTTCAGGTACCTATTTGTATTTTGTTCCTCTACAGCAGGGGTGTCAAACTCAAATACACAGTGGGCCAAAATTAAAAAATGGGTACTAGTCGAGGGCCGGACTGGTTCAATGTTTATTGTAAACCTTATTGAAATGAACTTATTGCACATATTAAACCTGGGACTAACAAAGCTTAAATTATTGCCTATAAAAACAACATTAAACATTAAATAATCAGTTGCAGTCATTTCTTATGGCTCGATCTGCAGCTTTTCCAGAGTCATTTCTTATGATTACATTTTTCCACAGGCCAACAACAGCTTCAACATTTTTTTTTCTCTCAAAGAAAAAACCAAACATGCCCTGTTGTCTCAAGAAAAGGAAACATCCATGTAAACTCAGTGTGCTGCTCTGTGATGCTAGTTCAAGCCAGATACTTGGCATCTCATCTTGGGTGCAAGGTCATCAATGTTTGGGGTCAGGCTCTGAGCTGAGGAGACCCTCAGGATTGAGTGAAGGTGTGCGTGCAATATACCGGCGGGCCAGATCTAATAGTAATTACAAATTATCCTGCGGGCCGAAATTTAACCAACCAAGGGCCTGATTTGGCCCCCGGGCCTTGAGTTTGACAGATGTGCTCTACAGTGACTTGTTTTGATGCTTTAATGTTAAAAAGAATGGAGAGAAACTCTGAAGCGTTGGGATTTTAGCTGTTGCAGACCATTTACATGCATTAAAACCTCCTGCACCCACTACAAGAAAGAGAAAACTCCCAAAAAGCAGAAAAGGGCCACTTAAATCATAGTTTCTGTCCCCTAATGTGTCCTCAGCTCTAGTCTCAGGATATATGAGTTTTGCAACTCGCACAATATCTGCAAAAAAGTAATTATGTTGACACTAATGAGTCCAAAGGAGGCACATACATGCAGGAGGTTTATATTGCTGAGTCAGTAGATTCAGATTAACATGTAGAGATGCACATTTTAAAATGGGATTGGCCTTGATGGCTTATAGATAATTCACTATAAACACATTTCTTACTCGTGTTCTTGGTTTCAAATGTCTCCAAACTATTAATATGGCGACTAGCACTTTTACTAGAACCTGATTCTGCTTATATTATTATATTATGCTGTAGGCGAGCTCTCCAAGGTCTTCATCTGTCGCCCCGCTGAGACCTCAAAGCATGTAACTGAATTGCAAATTCTGCAGTCTAATCATCCGAGGACCATTAGAGCATGCTTCCTCACCATCTGCCTGCAGAAAACTCTGTATCACCGTCCTCATGTATCCTCAGAGGTAGATATTGGTCCGTCAGGATGTATAAAGCATACCGTGTCTCCAGGGATCTTCATCAAGGTGCAGCTCAGCAGAAGCCTCCCAGCGAGTCTTTGACAGAGTGACACTTTCAAACATTCCTCAACAGGATAACAAGGCATGTTAGAATTGCACTTTTGTGCCTCAAACCTGACTCAAGAGGGTACTCATCCACCTTCTTATGAGTTTTATGTTTTATTTAGTTGCATCGACTCAGTTGTCTTGTGTCTTCTGTGTCAGAGAGAAGCCATTATTTATTTTACTGTATTTTATTATCATACATTTTACCTCCTTATGTCCATTAACCTGATAAAATGTTATATTTAGGCTGCATATACCTTTAAAGTTGTTAAAGGTCTCATGTCATGGCCATTTCTATTGATCATATTTCCATTGTTGAGGTCTACTAGAATAGATTTATATTGTTCAATTTTCCAAACTCACATTGGTTTCTCATACAGCATCTCTGTATAGTCTGTGTATTCACTCTCTGTCCTAAACGGCTTGTTGGAGCTCCTGCCCCCCCCCCTCCCTGTGAGCCCAGTGTGCTCTGATTGGTCGGGACGTGGCGAGGCTTGCTGCTCAGTGATCTGGCTTACTGGTGTGGTTTCCGGGTCGGCGATACAGCGAGAACAAGCGAAACTCATCCTGAGCACACACAAACACTCACAGCCGAAGTAAAAACAATAAGTGTGGCTTGATATTGAGTAAGAAAAAGGTTTATAACGCTGTGAGAATGGGTCTGCAGAGAGCATTTCTCCGCCATCCCAACTCGTCTATTACCAGCGTTCAGGGAGCTCTATGCAAGTCAATGGGGACTCCCTGTTAGTTAGCCAAGGGATCCTGGTGTGTGAGGGGCTCCGCGGATTGGTCCATTTGGGTTCAAGAGAAATGTCCAACGAGGCGTTCTGGGGCAGCATAGACAGGTCTTTTCTGTGTTAGAGTTTTACTCGCTACAGGGTGTACTTTGAGGGTTTGTGACTCTGCAGACCGTTTACATGCAGAAAGACCTTCATAACACACAAGGGGACGGGTGTCATTTTGTAAAGCACTTTGAGCTGCACGTGTTGTATGAAAAGTGCTGTATAAATAAAGCTTTATTATTATATTTGCATATCTATGAATATAAGATAGACATTAGATCTGCTCTTTATCTGGTAGAATAATTTGAAATGATGGAGGAGTTGTTTCCACTGGTGACCCTTACCTCATTGTCATTTTGAACACATCCCTACGACCAATTATTTCCCTCCTAAAGAGATATCGCAGAGGTATTGGAAAGCTTTGTGTGTGTCTACACTCTAATAAACTGCCTGACAGCTATGGGGTTTGGAAACGATGTGTGTGTGTGTGTGTGTGTGTGTGTGTGTGTGTGTGTGTGTGTGTGTGTGTGTGTGTGTGTGTGTGTGTGTGTGTGTGTGTGTGTGTGTGTGTGTGTGTGTGTGTGTGTGTGTGTGTGTGTGTGTGTGTGTGTGTGTGTGTGTGTGTGTGTGTGTGTGTGTGTGTCAGAGGAGCAAGAGAGGGAAGAAGGGAATAACATATCAAAAAGAAAGCGCCTAATTGGTTGATATAAACCATTACAAAATCTCTGTATCATCTTAATGTTCTCCTGTCCTCAAAATCTATTATCGCTGCAAAACCATTGCACACAGTCCCTCGGTTCTCCTTAGCAACGGTCTGTTCTCCTTAGCAACGGTCTGTTAGCGTAAAGTATCAGACCTCTGGAGTGTCCGAATTGACCAATCAGAATCCAGTATTAAACTAAGCCGCGTTGAAATGATAAATAACACGACGTTGTGGGTTGGTTTTCTTCCTTTCGCCCCAATTTTTTACTGTATCCATTGTGTGGGAACATTTACATAGAAATCGTTGTTTCAGTTCTCAATCTTTCGTGGAACAAATGAAAGTGGAGATAAGTAGCCTCTTTGTGTTAAATAGCACAACATTGTGGGGGTTTTTGAGTCACCGTCTACCATCTGAGTGTATTTACACTTGCATAGAGCTCTGGAAAGTACAACGTGTCGACAGAATCACATTGACGTTCAGGCCAAACCCTTAGTAAACCAACAGTTGTTACAAAAAGCTAACCCTAATACAGAAATACACCACAGTACTCACTTTCCAAACTCTATTGCCCTTCAGGAAAGAGCATTCCCCTTGAAAAGCATCACTTAGTGCGCCTCTGTAATGTTTTCAAAAGCTGTTTTTACTCACTTGTGTGAAGTGTTTTTCACATCTGTTGCCTGGCAAATTCGCTATAATGTTTTCTTTTGTCTTTCAG